AGGATGGGGACAGTGATGATGGTGGAGATAGTGTTGATGGTTGCCTTCCTCCACAACAAATTTCCACCGTTGATGGACAGCGATACAGACAGCACTTCACAAATGTTCACTTTCAGAGTATGTAGCAACATTTATTTAGAAAATGCATGCAAATCAATACAATAATGATTTTGAAACAGCACCTTCAATATCTCTACTGTAACCATGTTAACCCTATAGAAATGAAAACAATTATGATACTGGTAAACATGTACAGACATGGTTCTTGCATTTACATATTAGATTGATCTGTCTTCATCTTTTCCAATTTAAGCATTAACAGTTCTCTCTGGAGCTGAAGCACGTCAATCTGTAACAATTTTTTTTTCCTTGAAAGTTCTCTGTCACTGAGGTGTCCATTGCTTGTGCAGGGTAGAACTGGAGTGGTGAATGCTGCACAGCTGGGCTGGGGTGAAGATAGCACATCCAGGGGCAAGTGGGCCTCAGCTTCAACAACAGCAGCTTCCTGACTTCTGAAAGGAAATATCAATTTTTGAATGTAAAACTTAATGTCTTATCAAACAAAAGGAAAGATTGTTTACCTTTTCCCAGCCAAATTTCAGTTAATTAACCACTTACTCTTGTTATGCAAAAAGCATATATACTAAGCAGTCTTAAAAGGACAACTGTTTCAGTTGATAGAGTGATAAAAAATCTTCAAACAAATATATTCTATAGAAAAATGCATTGCCCACAGGAATAATAAATGGGCTGCGTTTGAAAAAAATGGTTCCTCTGTCATATATTTATAAAGATGTCACTTGACTTCATGTTTTTCAAAAACACTATTTCTTGGCTTGATTTTTTATGCATAAACTTTGCGTCTATATGCTCTATCTGTATAGTTATTAACCATTGTCTTTGAATGCAACCATGCTTGTAACCTGATTTGCCGGAATGGAAAAAAAATGTTTACCTGTTTGATATGTCCATGACTTGCAAAAGGGTTGAATCGAAGCTCCCCTCAATTCCACTTATACTGACATTGGATTGGCCAAGAACATCATATACTGCTTCAGAAACAGCACTCAACTTGCTTGGACCAGGTCCTCCTCCTGCAATCATTTCAAACTTTTGAATGCTTATATACTTCTTGATGCATTTAATAACCAAGACCCAATAAATGGGGATAAAGAAATAAGTTGTTTTTTTTCTCTTATTAATTTTGCATTGGTCTGTCTTTTGGTCAGGTGTAGGAAACATGTGAAATGTGAACATTCTTCTTAACACTGGTTCTATACTAGTGGCTCATGTCTACTGTCTTATGGTTCATATTACTCAATTATGTAGCTTAATATTTTTCATGTTTGAGTTTACAAGATAGTTATGATAAAAGATACACTGAAATGCATTAAAAGTAATATGTTTTATTCTTTTAATTTCACACCTTTTTTTATTAATCTTCTAGGAATATACCCATGTAGATATTTTGTATAAATGAGAACACATCTCTCAAGTAGAAATACAACATATGTATCAAGCAATGTTTTTCAGTTCATACACTGGCCAATGTATCAACATAACTATATTTTATCAACATTGCTCTTTGTCATATAGGTTTATACATGTGAGTTCACATCTCCTATATATTTGTATCCAACTCTAACTTTGTGTACAAGGAATTTGTGTACTGCATCAAATAATTGAGGTTTGAGCACTGTGCATAAAAAAAATTGAAATTGAATAATATTATTATATTCCAAGATATCTGTGATCAAAATACTTAGAAATGTAATTACTTACCAGTGCCACTGAGCTGTCTCTTGAAAGCAGATATTTCTTGCCTTGACTTGGACTGGATGTTGTACCATCTTTTCTCGCAGTCATCGCTTGACCTAACAACGTTAGGAAATGCAGCGTTGATATTGGCTGCCACCTCCCCCCATGCCTCCTTCTTCATTCTGGATGTTACTCCCGGTCCAAACTTGCCCTTGATGATTGATTTCCGCTCATCAACAAGTTGGACCAACAGCAATGACTGGTCAGATGTCCAATTAGGCTTGCGTTTCATCGAAACAATGTGTGATGAATCCATCGCGCGAAGTTTTGACAGATGTCAGATTCACGTCTGCTTGTTTACATCATGTGACTGTCACGTGGTATAAATTTTCGCCTCCAAACTGGAAGAGTGCTTTAAATTCTAAATATAGCACAGGGAATCCCCTGGTTACGACCAATGTCAGCTCTAAGAGTTACGCTCAGAGTTTCCTTTTCCTCTTAGCTAAGAGTTACGCTCAGAGTCATTATAACTACACTTTTAAGTGTAACTCTTAGCTAAACAAGTCAACTGACGCTTTTATCCCTGCCGCGGTGACTTTTAGTGTCTTTAAGGTTGGGATGTTTTCTAAATACACCAACACGAACGCCTAAATGCGCTTTCTGCCATATTGCATTGGATAGTGTTTTCAAAATCACGTTTCGCGAAGGCCGGTATTGAGACGCCTATTACATCACGTATATTTCCTTTTCATCTGTGACAAATACATCACTGAATTCCTCATACATTTTAGTATCAAATAAGAAATGGTCTTTGTCACTAAAACCAAGTGTCTAGGTGATATGAAACGAACGCTGTGTGAGAAAGACAGCACTTGTTGAAATGTAAACAAAGAAACATTGAGACTTTACACTGTGTACTGCATTTTCTCAAATTTCAGACACCCATTCGTCTATTCGTAGCATGCATAGGCTCAATACTTTTAGAACATACATGGAAATAGTATCGTAGCAAAAAATAATAGATACAATACAGTAATGTGATATGTTTATACGAAATTGTCAAAGTTTCTGTGCAGCGTAACGTCATGACTGACGGAAAATCTCGCAGAACAACAACGGTAATGATCGGCATATCTGGCTTCTTCTCTTACTTGCAATGAAAACGATAAAACATGTAACAATACACAGATAGTCAGAATCATTCTGATTACTCACATCACACATTTATGTACAAACGATCCCCGAATCAAAGGAAAGGTCCTCGCAAAATCCTGTATACCCATGTCACCGAAGCCGCCATTTTGTAAGAAATCGGTCACGGGTTGTGACGTCATATACGTCAACATTGTTGTTACATATTTGGCAATTTCTTTGAGGTGAAGGTCGGTTGAATAACAGTAAACACAATCGCCATGTTCCACCGATTACACTTTCAGTGTATATTTTGAGTATCTTTCAGATATTTTTTCATGAAACTATAATTTCATTATCTACATTTACCCTTGTTCTATATCATATCCTTGGATATAGGGTATACGGTTTTCATTCTTTCAAGGGTTTTGTTTGTTTGAATAATATTTACATAAGAAATTGATATACTGAGTGTAGTACACCATATTTTAAACCCTTAAACAAGTTTTAAAAGAACAAACGAAGGCGTAACTGCAACATGTACTTAAATAGTTCATGTATCATGTGCAATATTCGCCATTCGGACCAATATTACAGTTGCATATGAACAGGTTATGAATAGCGATTTAACTTTCATGACCCCGGGGCCAGGGGTTGTGAAATATTCTGTTTAATTTACGTCAAATTGATGCCAAACAGGTGCGTGTGTTGTTCATATTAAGATACAAAGTCAAACCGTCTAATTATGGATCTATTCAGGACATTATTTAAATGGTAAAATCAGTCATTTTAAGTTCTGTCACAAGAGTGTTAAATTCAGACATAGAAACCAAAACCTTTTACACAATTCATGGATATTATGTGAGATATATACTGATCAGCATACCAGTGCCGTTTTTTTCCGACGTCGCAAAATACATAAAACAAGCAATGACGTCTACTACAATTTTGTAATCTTTTCAGTAATTTCATTATATTTGAAGATATGGCTAGTACTCAGTAAATAATGATGCAAAATCAGTCAAAATACATCTACACAAACAGGAGAATATGTGAATTTAAGAACTAATTTACATATCGGATAGGGCCATCAAAATCGCTTTTACGTGCTTTCTCAAGTAGTACATTGTCATCTTTTCTTATAACTTGTGAAACTACTAAAACGTATCCGCTCACATTGGGGAACTTTGTATTGGAATACATGTAGTTTGGTTCACGGTGAACAAAACATAAGGAAAATATAGCGTCCGTATCCACAACGAATTCTCTCCAAGTGATATGAGTTACATTGACCTAGTGTTAAGCATAGCGGAGTTATGCCCCCTTATCTTTATACGCGTATGACCTCTCTGTCGTCCTTTGACGTCATAGAAGAAAATCCATTTTTGACATTTATTGCGAGTCATTTTTAATGTTGAGCGTACAACGTTATGCATAAGCAAATAAACCCATTTCATATATACTTATGTCGTTCAGATATCAGGCTGTAATATATTCGCTCACACTTTCTGTAAAGATGCCAAATTAAAAAAATCGTAGCACAGTGCTTTTACCGGTGCACGATCAAAAGCGGAGAAATTTACTGTTTTTGAATGCATAGCAAAATTTTGGACATCATTTAGCAGTGTTTATTTCTCAAACCGCCGAGGTATTTGCATTTATACTTATACCAACGGATAGGAAATTTAATATTCCACATTTCTGTGTAATTTTATAGCTGTACGCAGATACAGGACCACGCGAGCACAAATCTCGCACAACGTTCACTTTTCAAACCTTATGAAATTGTGCGCCTGAAAAAAAACCTCGGCATCAAAAAGGACTTAAGACTGGTAGGTAGCAGTCTCAGGATTTAAGACAAAAAATGATCTCAGTCTTAACTTTTAAGACTAAAAAATGTACGTGATCCCCGATTTAAGACAATTTTTGGGACTTAAGATCAAAATGACAGACTTAAGCAAATTTTAGACTTAAGTCACTTTCATGACCCCGGGGCCAGTTCGATTTCAACCATGGGTGAAACTCGATCCCCCGACCGTGATGTTGCTGGAGTGTTTCTAGAAGCGGTGTAAAACTGTATTCACTCACTAACCATATTAATGTTATTTCAGGGAGGGTTTGTTTCACCAGACTGTCTCCTGTCTACGGGCTCTGACTGACAACTGCACGGGAAACACGGAACGAGAACACATTCTCCGGATGATGGTGGACCCTGACAAAAGTGAAACCAGTGTCAATTACTTCTGTCAAAATTTCAAAAGTAAGTGGCAGTATATGATTAAATTAAATTAATCTTAATGTCTTATTTACGTGGTGCTGCTTGTCTTTAAGAGCCGACTAACGGGACCAGGTGGTCAGGCATGGTACATAATGATCGGTCCCCTTGAGAAGTTGCAACAGCGCTAAATGAGCAATGATGGTTTGATAACGTCATAACGAACCGATGTACTCTACAAATAGCCGTGAATGTTTAGACTACGGGATACAATGAAACAAAATCGTAAAATAGATTACAAGTTTTGGGACTAGAAACAAGTATCCGGCTCTGTGACTACCTGGCTTCTGTTAGAGCAAGACGTTACATTTAACAGTTCACTGTTCAGAGTTACGTCCCCTAGGCTAGCCAGGATCTTCTGATTCACCCTGCTATTGTAAATGGTTTGTCATCTCGTTCCTATCTGCTTGTACTCTCCAACAACTTGTGTCTCTTTTGGCATTCCACTCGAATGAAACAATCGCAATACTGAAATACTGTAACAGTTCAAAGCTTTTAACCGATCCCCCTTCATTAAGACTATTTTATTCTGTTTAGCATACGAAGCGAACGCCCAGTGTATCGCTAACTCCCATCCAGAGCAGGTCAACTGCACTCACGAGGTACAGAAGAACTTTAAGACGAAGGTCAGGGCCACCATCAACATGGACGTCAGGATGACGTCATCGTGCAGGCAAGTGGTATCTTTCTAAAAGCAATATACATGTAGTCGGTGGTGATAATTGCCATAGGATCCAGAGTATGATGTATGTTAAGTGACCAGTTGACTCCCTTCCCAATACGAACAGACTCGGACACGCACGCAAACACGTACGCAAACTCTCTCATACGCACGCAAACACGTACGCAAACTCTCACACGCACGCAAACACGTACGCAAACACGTACGCAAACTCTTACACGCACGTAAACACTTATACCGTCAAAAAATGTATTCGGGGCAATTTTACAAAACACGGTAACTTCCGGATTATTGAGGTTTCTTAAACCTTTAAACTTAGAATAAAGTTTCATCCCAAACCACCTCCGTTTATTATATACATCGGTGATTGCATGAAGAGGATACCTCATTTTACACTTCACGACGAGAAATAGAACACTGAGTGTAGGGAAGAGTCCTCCTGAAATGAAGGTATGTTCTCTCTTCGTTTCGCAGAATTCGTGAATCTTTTAATGAAGAGGAGCGGTGGGGTAGCCTAAGCGTTCTATTCCCCGCATGGGTACAATGTGTGTAGCCCATTTCTGGTGTCCCCCCACTGTGATATTGCTGGAATATTGCTAAAAGCGGTGTAACACCCAACTCACTCTCTCTCATCATTTATGAAGAGATGATATTGTAACGTACCTATTTCCGGCATGCATAAGATGGTACTAACTATTCTAATATTTTCGTAATTATTTTTAACAAGAAATGTGTCTGTTCTTTGTAGATTCTTTAAGACTGCAGTGTCGTGCTCCTCAAAGGTGATCCGTCGGCGATGTGGTCGCTCTGCTGCCACCGTTGTCACGACGATCATGCAGGGTTTCCAGCCACCCAAATGTCTGGAGGTGAAGTTTGAAGACGAGGGAATATATTCCGTCGGGGACGATGACGACGACGCAGGAGCAGCAGCGTCTGTCGTCACAAGCCACAGACTGATGTTACTTGTATATGTGTTGATATGCCTGTTCTGGAGGTCCTAATGTCTTTAAACACTATAGAAAGATACAACTTCTTGCTTCAATGACCTCTGTCAATCAGCATCCTCATCGTCAACATTCTATGTCACCAGCTGCAGCATCCCCAACCCCATTGCAGTGATTGTTCTCGAAGGTTCTCAAAGCCGTCGGGTAAGATCCGCCGTGAACGACCGGTAAATAACATGGCTCTGTTTGGTGGCCAAACGGTTTAGCACGATCTTAATCTGCAAACAACAGATGAAGATTTGACATTGCCTGTATATAAGCTGTATACTATTGAATGCCCTGAACTGAACTTGGAAACAGACACTCGTATGGTTCCCATACATTTACATGGTCTTCAGGGGTGGTGGGGTAGCCTTGAGGTTAAAGCGTACGCTCTTCTCGTCGGAGACCCGGATTCGTTTCCCAAAATTGGTGTCATTTGTGAAACCCATTGCTGGAGTATTGTATAAATTCAGCGTAACACCGTAGTCACTCATCCCAACCGGCGGCTGAAAACAGCGTAAGAAATTACGTTGACGTTAAACCCTGATGGTGGCCTGAATTACGCATTCGTATTCAGAATGTCATACCTCGCCGCTTATTGTGGTGTAAACACGCCACACTTTCTGTACCCACTTCAAAGAAAACTCCTTATTTCGATGTCCGAGTCAAGACATATCCAGTAATGTCATTCAAGGTACCAATGAAGTATTGTTTCAGGAAAACGGGGTAGCCTAGTGGTTAAAGAAGAAGACCCGAATTCGATTCTCCACATGGGTACAATGCGTGAAGCCCATTCCTGGTGTTCCCCGCCGTGATATTGCTAGAATATGGTAAAAGTGGCGTAAAACCACTCTCACTCCAGCTCATGCAACAACACTGGAAAATCGGGCTACTCCCATTGTACCAATGTCGGGGAATCGAATACGGTCGCTCTGTATAACGCCGCCGCTCTCTCGATAAAACGATGTTTCACTGTACTGTCACAAAAGGACGTAAAGTAGAGTGTATTTCAACTGTGATATCTGAAGCGTAATATTTATAAAATTTATGAATATGTTTGTAAACCACGACAATCATTCACTGTGAATTGCTACAGGTGTGTTGTTAATGATGTTGTTTGTTGGCGTAGCGTTGTGATCGTTATACAATGGGTAATCTCAAAGTGGCTTCAGATGCTAGATAGATAACACGTGATTGTTATATAGAACTGCTGAAAAATGATTTTGATTGGTCGTACGCGAGCAAGAGTTGTTTGACAACCATTCACACCTCAAAGTTTGAAAACATACAAATGTTCGTGCAAATAGTGATGAGAATAGAGACTCCCAAACAGTTCGTCAATTTTGAATGAATCGTTTTCCAATCTGGTTTCCTTTTAGGCAGTCAAAGAACCGCTTTAAGATAAAAGGACTATCTCAGCTTCCGGTCTGACATTGACGTCATATGTACAACCAAAGATAAGTATAGAATGTGGAATGTTTAAAGTGGAGGCGGATCCTAGATTTGTAAACCCGAATACAAGGCACTGAAACTGATAAAATACACAGCTATTACCAACAGCTCTTTGCCCGTGGGTCCGCCTGTGATAACTTACTACATCTTACATTGACAGCCAAGCTTGGCTCATTGTCCTTCATCATGGTCATAATATGTCTTGACATTTAATCATTTTAGCAGTGGTTTGGGCTAGCGTAGATTACCCGTCATCCTAAAGAAATATTCACTTGAACTGATATTCACAAACCTTTACATAGTGATGCGCCTTATACCAAACATTAATCCTGTTCTTCCCATATGTGCTGTTTTGTGGAATTGCCTACGAACTGGAAAGTTTTGTTTCAAGTCGGTTTGAACACTGTTCCAGTTATAAGGCGAAGGGTCGCCATGTGGGAGGGAAACCCGGAGTAAGGTCACTGATACCACTTTGATGAAACCCATTGGCACGGGTAGATGGTGGTGACATACCTAAAATTATAATTTGGTGAAACAAGCTCCTTTTAAAAAAACTAGCCATGGGATAGCGGTCCATCGTTCTAACACATGGGTATATGAATCAGTATTTCTGTCAGCATTCTACTCCCAGTTCCAAAACCAACCGTACTCAGTTCAAGGATTCTTGACTTTCCGGAACAACCCGAATAGCACCTCACGAAGCGTGCCGAGTGTTTACGATCGAGACCGAGGAGCAAAGATTGGTTGGAAACTAGTTGTGGGCGTACCTTTGTCAAATTTCATCAGTCTGGTATGACGTCATACCTAAACCCTGCGATGTCTGGCTCACATTATTTTGTTGTGGTGAAACTACCCTCATTTAATATTTAATCGTAGACTTGATGACAAACAGCACGTGTTTTGAGTGCATATGGTCATAATGATTGGACTCTAATACCAAACATCAATAGAGGGAAACATGTTCATATTTCGTCATTTTTGCCTTATTATGAATAATTTATTTCATAAATGATCATACTGCGTCTTTTTATGTGTCCAAAAATTGGTTTCACCTGCTTTCGATTTAACGATATCAAGGTTTGTGTTGGAAGGGCCGCTCACAGAATATGGTAATCTTGAATGCAGAAGTTTACTGTACGTTGTGAACTATTGGCGTTAGAAATGGACATCTAAACCCAGAACATATTTAGAAGAAAACAATCCATTCCGTGCACAGGACAAAAACAGTTAAAATTTACCTCGAATTGAAATTATGTACATGCAATTCAAACGCCAGTGTTATGTTTCGATGGAATCATACGGTACCACAGTTGCATAAATTCACTGTAGAATTACCTCCCTTGGGCATGCCTGGATCAGCAATATGTTGGTTAGATCTAGGGTTTGAAATGTGAATGTGCATGGTTTGTCAGCACCATGCCAGTGTCTTTAAAGTTCACGGCAGCACTTTGTGCTCTCTTCACTCAAGACTGCCGACACCCCTGACCCAAGTGGACACTGTTCAAACCGGACTCATTCGTTATGTGGACGTGGATTCTAGAGGGTTCTGATGATCCTCCCATTGTAGGCGGAAAGCGTGCAATCCCATGGAGTTTCCCAATGTTTTTTCTGGCTTGTTCATCAATAGTTCTAGATAGGTTGACATGTCTAATATCAATGTATATTTATGTGTTCATAAGGTATATCAGGCGTCTTGGAATCAGATGGAAATGTACATGCTTCTAACAAGATGTTGTTGAGTCATACCTATAGTATAGATGATGATGTTCACAAGTTATAGCTGTAACCCCAATGTCACATTCCTTTCAACACGAGATGCCACTTGCACAAAGAGATGTTAGAGCTAAGACGATCGCAACTTACTATAACATAGACTTAAGATGATCGTGATGCTAAAATCGGATTGTGCAAGTGGTCCCTTGTATGGATCAGTGGAGTAAGGAAGAAGTATTATCAGACATGTCTTCCTAAGATGAGGGTAATGGTGCCAAGGTCGTCTAAGGTGCTATGGAGTTGCATCCCTAAGACGTATTTGAATACGATGATCGTGGGTTCTATTCCCCGAATTGAGCCTTGGTGTGACGGCACAATACCCGTGGGTTTCAACGTATTACTTCCGGATTTCCTCTATTTTAAGCAGACATTTCCCATATAATTAAACCATTGTTAAACTTTCGTTCTTAGTCAGAATAATCTTCAGTAAATTTTATTTTCCATGACAGCCAAATTTCAAAGGCTGTTTATTATGGTGTCAGCCTTTTGTGCAGATAGACTGTGACCTGCTCTTATGTATTCCGGTCACTTCCCCTCATGGTGTCTTCCTTGGCGAATGCTTGTAGGAATCAATTCCGGAATCTGATATTATGTAAGATATCGTTTTTCATTCTTATATTCCGGGGCAAAAATATCCGTGATCACATAAACTTAATCATACTTCAGGTTCGAATTAATAACGAGATGGATTACATGGCTTTTCAGATCCGTCTTGTGTATACACCAAAACACTTTTACAGGCAATAACATTCCATTATTAAGTATCTTGGGATTAACCAGACCACCTCCAAAAGTATGAAAACACTCACCATAACACGTGTAAAGAAGACAAACATCGTTGGATTTATTTAAATATTAATCATATAAAAACGTTTTGGGAAAATGTATAACAATTTTAACTGTCAGATAAAACGAGTTTAGACTTACATTATATTTATCAATGATGTCGAGATATAACGGGCGCTTCTTGTTGACATGATTATGCACTTTCTTCAACAAAATTGAATGGTGATAAAATACCATTATATTAGTTACTTTTGACATTGAGTATATATGTTGCCGCTATCAAAAGGGTAGAGCTATTCATGGAGGGCACTATGCATTTGTCTGGGCTAAATGGCTGCCCATGCTCCGTGTCAGGCGTATGAAGAAAATACTTCTATTTACACAATATATGGTATGTGTGAACCCACAGAAAATCATGTCCTCATTTGTGTAACCTATTCACAATGTTGTATTTTAACAGTGTTGGTTTCCGTCAGTAAATACCTCCCACCACAAGATGTAAATGTACAGATAATGTTACCTCCTGAGATGTACCTGTTGCGAGTAGCTTGCTCGAGATAGTTATCATCGTACGACCAGTCATGCATTGTAGGGTGGGGCAACCCCAGAGATAAGCAAGGGTGGGTCTCCTGTCATACATAGCTGTATAGCTGCAGGGGTGATTAAATAATTCATTACATTTATTGTGGCATCGGGGTGACCATGGGGAAACTCCAGGTCATCGGGAGGGCAGCAAAATATCCTAAAGGAAGAAATATTTACGATCTGTGGTCCTTTGGTTAGTCTGTCTCCTTTCACAAAGCACTTAGGTGATCGTAAGTCTCTAAGGTAACCTTAGTGTAATGGGAGTGGGAGTTAAGGTTTTAGTGACGCTTGCTTCGTGATATGGGCCCCAGGACCATATTTTTTTCGCTTCATCCCAGTACTGCCTGTAATGCGAATGCTCTAAATGCAGCAACATTTCCCCAGGTTCAGAATCTTTTCTCACTGGGGCTCCTTTTCAGTTTAAAATGAGCTCTGTGTTTTTATAATTGTATACTGAGACAAAGCGTTAGTGTGTCCTTTTGTTTGAGGATGAGAAACTCGAGGCTCACCTCGTCCCTATAATTAATGACTGGTCCCTCATTTCATCAGCTTCAATCTCCTGTTGTGTTGCTCAATCACTTGTTTGTCTTGTAAATACTATTGACACATTGTAGTTTATACACCAAAGAGGATATAAGGCACATAACATAAGGTGAATAAGTCACACACTCCGAACTCGTGCACAAGAATAAACCTTGAATCATCCAGCCAGTGTATTTTATCTCAATTCTATTACGGTAAATACCCTTGACCATTCCCAGGCTTTATTTCGGAAGTGAGGTCAGTATCTCCTTCCACCATCATAAGATTTATCTGTCTCATGTGAAATTTGACCGAATATCTTATGCCATTTGAGGTACGCCTTCCATGTAGAATATAAAGTATATCTGCAAGTATTTGGAACCATTGCCTTCACTTGGATTCTGGCATAAATGTACACTCCTACCCATCTGTGTGTATAGGGAGTTTGACACACCATCCTGTCGTGAAATCCTTTTATTTAGAATGGCAGTAATCTAATCCTCACGTCTGGACCAAACAAACCAGTGGTTGATGGGGTGAACACAATGCCCTCATCACAAGTAGAATCATAATAAATGTGGTCACTTCAAGATTGATATTCAGCCATTAATTTATTCTTTCGTCATTGACGTACATATTCTTGTTTATTTTCGTCTCGTCACTGCCAGTTTTGACACATGTACAATCTCATAGTATTGCTGTTAGTCACCCTGATGCTTGTGCAGCTACCTATCAACATGATATGCATCCATACACTATAATGGCCTTAACTATATGTTTTAGACTTTACTCATTTGGAATAAATATGGTTTTGAAGATACTCCTTGTTGGCTTTAATGTGTGTACTCTTTTCTTTGTCACATGGATCAAGTTCTTGTCAGACAAATCGTAGCTGGGCACCATTGTACAAAAGGATCTTGGCGCAAAGATGATCGCAACCCCAATACTGTATCATAGACTTGCGATAGTCTTAGTGCTAAGGTTGCTTTGTACAACAGCACCCTGTCCTGAGAAACCTGGTCTCGTGTGTATACTAGTGGCACCAATGGTGTTTGATTCCAGAGTTGGGACCAGCCAATCCAGTGATTTGGGAAGAGTAAGTGAAAAATACATGTCATCAACCACAGAACATGACCACCCGATTTACCTGTAAGTCTGTGTGTTTAATGCCACACCTGGCAGTATTTCATTTATCTGGACCACACAGTTCTGTGACTGATATGATCAAAGTCCTATTCCAGTTCATGATGACAAGGTCACATAGTCAGATCAGCGAGGATGCCACATACAGGAAGTATTATTGGAGAACTGTCCAGGGGAGTGAAATGCCCGTCTCTCTCACCCCTGGTCTTCCACACAATGACTACAGATTACAGCTATATACAAAACATTTATTGTGATGAAGTCCTATGATTTCTTCTTGATGGGGATGATGACGATGGAGTTCCTGGCTGTCTTGTCCCTCCACCAGCGCCCCAGCCGGTGCTCCTGCCCCACCCCTACCACCAGCATACGCCCGTCCCCCGAGAACTGCAGGCTGTTCACAAACCCCTTCTGTAACAGACAGTGAGTTAGATTTAGGTCTCATCAAACTATATTTTCAGTTGCATCACTTTGGGCTCTCCCACTGAGATGATCTTAGCTTTTAAATAATTTAGGCAAACACAAAGACATTGCTGACAAATTATTAAAAAAAATTATCATAAGCCTCTGCACTGTCCAAGGGCCACAACTCTGTGCAGCACCACAGATTACAGGCCATCTGAACCAACAGATGCACTAGTTTGACATTACACTGTATAAATGCATATAACTCTGTATATCCAATGTATGATGATAAGTCACTGAATGTGACCACTGAACCATCTGTCACCACATACACCAAGCATAGGGCCTACTCTAACCTGGCTTTCCAGCTCTTGGGAGGTCGATAAATCAAATCTAAAAAACACCCCACAATAAAATGTTTTTACTTTTTTGTGTCATTCAACATTGAACACATTCACTACTTACAATTCTTATTCACTGGTTAAACTAACTGTCATAATACAAAAACAAACCATCCTTCATTAAACCAGACTAGAGGAACACACCCATTCGTCACAGGTCTTCTTTCAATTATGCTTTACAGAGTTGTCCCCCTTACTGTACCCGCCTACTGTAAAACCTCATTGCTATACGAGAATCACATGCTCAACTCCTGGTGGCATCAAATGAACAACAACCATCATATGTATCAATGCCTGCCACATCCATAAGAAAGAGAATCTTCAACAACTTTGGCAGATCTGGAGTCCAAAACACCTAAAACTACCCATCTGCCCTTATCCCTATTAGCCTAAGCGGGTTTAATGTTCCTTTAAGACAATTTCATTTCCATACAACCTTTGTGTGTTTAGCTACTTGTGCTAGTCTGAAGATGATATGAAAATTGTACATGTACTTTTGGACATGAGGCATATTTGGTACATGGGTGGTAGTCTTGACTTCTACCAGTTTTATTCTGCTTGCCCACTGAGATACCACGCTGCAGTTGACAGGGAACCCCACTTTGACACCTTATGCTGACTCTGGGCCAGTCTGTGCTTGGTTTATTACAACCAGCTACATCACACCAGGGGCTTTCAAACAATGTACCCATGTTGGGAACCAACCCAGGCAGTGCTTCAACCACAAGGCTACCCTACAGCTGAGCAAGATGCAGTACATCTGTGCGAGATGCAGTACAGCAGTGCGAGATGCAGTACAGCAGTGCAAGATGCAGTACAGCAGTGCGAGATGCAGTACAGCTGTGTGAGATGCAGTACAGCAGTGCGAGATGCAGTACAGCTGTGTGAGATGCAGTACAGCTGTGCGAGATGCAGTACAGCTGTGTGAGATGCAGTACAGCTGTGAGAGATGCATTGGTCACCTTGACCCAGCAGTGATGACTTACCACAGGTATTGATGCGATGCAGGTGAGAGACTTGAACTCTGCTCCACACTTCCAGAACCTGATTGCTCCGTCACGGGACCCTGCTGACAGAGACGGAACACATCTACACAGGATGATTATCAATGTGTTTTCAGGTAACAAAATCTCCTTTTAGGCTGACTGACTTGAGTTTTTGTTTTACACCGCTTTTAGCAATATTCCAGCAACATCACGGCGGGGCACACCAGAAATGGGCTTCACACATTGTACCCATGTGGGGATTCGAACCCGGGTCCTTGGCGTGACAAGCCAATGCTTTAACCACTAGGCTACCCCACCGCCCTCCTTTTAGGAATAAAACACAACATACATCCACCAAGTGAGTCTACCCACCCAGTCTAGTAAGTCACCTCTCATGACAAACACAGGCTGCTGGGCACCTATTCTAAACTGGAACCCCAGGGAAGACACGTTTAGCATCTGCACAGGCAATAACATCTTTATATGACCCTCCACAGACAAAAATACTCCGTATTTCATTACTTGTTTGTCTTCAATAATTATGATAGCTGTAAAACTTTATTCATTTACTTGGGTTCTAGTGAGTGTGTTGGGTTTTACACCACCTTTAGCAATATTCCAGCAATATTCCAGCAATATCACATTCTCTTCCCACAGAGGTTACTCAAGTCATATCTTCCCAAGTACCTCTGTTGTAATACGACCATATTTCCCGGTTCTCATAAAATTCAACATGAATTATCTCCCTTCTTTCTATCCAATCAGAGCGTGTGTTACATTGATTTAGATCCGATATGGCAGCCGCCATGGAAGGATAGATTCGGTATTTCATGTTTAACTGAAAATCAGAAACTAGCAATAGAGAGCAGGACTCAATCGACAAGATGTTTTTGTTGCTGTCACACACAAGACATTTATTGGCTAGCTTGTCCTTGACCTAGTGCTGTATAGAAGTAACGTTCGCGCAGGGGAAGATATTGTAGTTTTCCCAAAGCATATGGAAATTACCGTGGCTTTGCGAATGATCACTTTTAAAACGTCGCCGATTGCACAACTAAATTTGATTGCAACCAATCACGAATCCTGAACACTCGCACCATGAAAGGGCCATACAAGAACAGAGATACGTGGGAAGATATGACTTGAGTAACCTCTGTGGGAAGAAAATGGCAATATCATAGCAGGGGAAACAGAAATGGGCTTCACACATTGTACCCATGTCTGGAATCAAACCCAGGCCTTTGCCATGGCAAGCAAACGCTTTAACCACTAGGCTACTCCACCTCCCTTCTGGGGTTCTAAAACACAAAGGACATGATTTTTCCTCTGATGTCCGGATGACCTACCGGACACAACTACGTCAGTGTTTTGAAGGGAGACAACTGCGCTGATCCAGTTCTCCTGATAACCTCCAGTTTCAGTCTTGTGGGCCTGCTTGACTGTAGTCAGGGGCTTCTTCTTGTTGACACTCCATAATGACACGGAGCTGTATGTAAAGTAATTTGGAATTATCGTCTTCAGTTAAAAGTAAAAACACTTATATTGATATGATCTAATCATTACGTAGACAACTGTACATCAAATCATTACGTGCACAACTGTGTCTAATCAATCAGTAGTCAATGTACAATGGAAGCCACTTACTTGTCGTCTGCTCCTGTGACGAATGTTGACTCATTGATGAGAGACACACAGTCTATGGAGCCACAGCCACTGCAACACAGGACAACCCAGGAAATCATTCAAGGGAACAAATAAACACATCGTACACCAAGATCTGTGGACACTCCTCAGACGAGTGTGTCAGAAAAGAATGTATTTGTACGACTACTATATAGCTTGGATACGATAAGTCTACCCACACGTGTCCGTTGAAGATGAGTTGTGATTCCTCAATGATCTTCCACACTCGTACTGTCCGATCCCTGCCACCAGAGGTCACTGCTCGGTCACGTGTCAGACTATCCACTCCAGTCAGACAGTCCTGGTGGCCGAATCTAAACAACAAAACAGAACTTACGTTTTACATCACTTTCCGCAAGATGGCGGATGACTTACATAACATTCCCTTCCAACCAACTAAACGTGAAATCACCCTTTAACGTAATGAGAAGTGTGAAATATACCAATAAATAATTAAGTTTAAACTAAAAATGAAGAAGCTGTTTATCTATTAAATGTTCAGTGTAAATGGATAATTCTCTCAACTATTTCTGTTTCGATTTGATGTATTCTATTCTAGTTGAATCATCTATCACTTGGAGAGAGAGCTACCTAGTGCCTAAAACTGAAACTCGAATTTCTGTTACCTTATATTACCGTCTATAAGCCGAATTTTGAGGACCAAAAAAGGGGGTCTGTAGAAGGGGGTCGTCTTATCCATGGGTTACGCTTTCGTCAAACTTTTTTCCAGGGGTAAGAAAGAACATGGTATCACCTCGCGTGAACAATACAGAGTACTATTATTTAACCTAAAGAAATATAACCTAGCATTGTGTAATTTTAATTACAGTTTTAATGTAAATTATATAATCAACACTAAGGTTATACGGACCCTCATGAACGTAGTAAACAGAAGTTGTACGCACATGGAATGGGGTAAAATACGGAAGCCATTTAAATTCACACATTTTTACCGATGTTACTGTAAACTAGCAGTCAATGGAAAACGAGGCGGTTATCAGTTCGTGATTGTTGAATGGGGTAAAATAAGCAAGCCAGTTTGTTGCTACAATAAATATGATATTCAGAGAAACAAAATATATTATGCATTTTCTGTCAACTACACTTTGTTTTGATCCGTGAGTAGACGCAATATATATGATTGTGAATTCTTTGAATAATGTGGACCAAAGTTATAATTATTGGTAACTGCCAGTTGTCTG